TAGAAACCGGGAGATGTAGGATCAAAGCAACCACAAGCAAAGGACCAATCATTCTCTCTCAGCTCAAACTCTCTCACAAGGTGAATTGCATCTTGGAAACTTGAAATATTGCATCCAGTTTTGATCACCCTGATATAAAAAGATGTTGAGAGTCTAGAAAGAGTGCAGAGAGGAGCAACAAAGATGATTAGGGGATTGGAGACTCAAACATACGTAGAACAGTTGCAGGAATTGGATATGTCTAGTTTAATGAAAAGAAGGACTAGAGGTGACATGACAGCAGTGTTCCAATATTTGAGTGGCTGTCACGAAGAGCGGGTCAATCTATTCTCCAAAGCATCTGAAGGCAGGGCAAGAAGCAATGGGGGGAAACTAATCAAGGAGAGATCCAACGTAGAACTAGGGAGAAATTTCCTAGGGAGAAATTTCAATCAGGATAGAGCTGAAAAGGACCTTGGAGGTCTTCTAGCAGGAAACCATGTACCAGGTGGCTGTCCAGTCTCTTTTTAAAAACCTCCAATGATGAAGGACCCATAACTTCTGAAGGCAAGCTGTTCCACTGGTTAATTGTCTTCCCTGTTAGGAAGTTTCTCTTTAATTCCAAGTTGCTTCTTTCCTTGATTAGTTACCATCCATTGTTTCTTGTCTTGCCTTTTGGTGCTTTGGAAAATAAGTTGACCCCCCCTCTTCTTTGCGGCAGCCCTTCAAATATTGGAATACTGTGATCGTGTCCCCCTAGTCCTTCTTTTCTCTAGACTAGACATACCCAATTCCTGCAACCGTTCTTCATATGTTTTTTTTTCCTTCCAGGCCTTTAATCATCTTAGTTGCTCTTTGCATTTTATTTTTAAAGTCTCAATCTTTTTTGTAATGTGGTGACCAAAGCTGGATGCAGTATTCCAGGTGTCTTCTTACTAAGAATGTATAAAACGGTACTAATACTTCACACAATTTTGATTCTATGCCTCTGTATACAACCAAGGATTGTATTAGCTTTCATCAGTAGAAGAACCTGCCTCCAGAAGTTGTGGGTGCTCCAACACTGGAGGTTTTTAAGAAAAGATTGGACAAACATTTGTCTGAAATGGTATAGGGTTTCTTGCTTGAACAGGGGTTGGACTAGAAGACCTCCAAGGTCCCTCCTACTTTGGTTATTCCGTTAAAGTTGTTGCTGTGGGAGAAAATAGATCTTTTATTATGCTTGGATAAAGATGCATCCCAAATTAAAATAGCAAATGAAGACTGCAATCCAATTGCTGTTTCAATTTTCTCCAGGAGGAGAGTTTTCCTTGGAAGAAGCACCGTCAGTGAAAAAAATCCAGCTGAAGATCTCTTGAAAAGTAATTTTACCATGAAACCTAAAATATTCATGGACAAACGGTAATGAGTGCAGCATTCCATCCATGAGAGATTTTTTTTCCTTTGATACTATTTTTGAAAGCAATTTCTCTTAAATCTGTAAAATCAAATTGAATAAAAACGGGTGGAAGGAGTGGGGAAAATTAGTCTGTCCAGCACTAGCAAATAATCTTACAGTATTTGCTGATAGCAAGAAGAAGTTTTGCTTTGCCTTTCCTAATCCTTACACAGCAAGCCATGTTTGGATCGGATTTTATTATAGGCCTTCATAATAAGTTGTTATAAAACACATCCCAAATACAGTCAATTAAAAGATGACAATCATTGCCAAAGCTGCTTGAGATGCTTGTTTTCATGCTGAAAAGGTGATCCTTTATAAAACCAGATGCTCTCCTCATCGATTTTCAGTGATTGATTTTAACACAGCAAAATGAATTCAGTAGAGCAGTAATTGGGAAATGTCTATCAAGATACTTCTCAATGATTATTATTGGCAAACCGTTCATACTATTATTCTTGCCTGCAAGGACAAACAATCCAATTAATTGTGGGGAAGATAATAAACCATTTATAAACAGTTGGGAACAGGATCCTGTTTTCACGTAATTAAGAAAAACTGCTTACATTAAATATCTGGCTGACCATTCTCTAGCAAACAGCTGAGCTTCCAGGAAAAGTAGCTCGTATATGAAATACGAAATGCTACGGAGCTCTTGTATCTGCTTAATTCAGATTTACTGAAAAAGCAAACAGTCTAGTCTCCCTTGGCAAATGCTCAAGAGAAAGACACTGAGGTCACGCATACACCAGTGTCTACCTTCCGCTGTTACAAGAGGAATTGTACAAGGGATTGCTGGACTGCTGTTGGCTGGATTTCTGCCAGAGCTGTTTCTGGCTAGGCCTTCTGTAGTATTGTGCCTGTGAGCCAAATTGTTTTTGAGTCTTCTTTTGCATAATCAGGAGGGTGGGGGGGGGCGTCTCTCTTTCTTGATTCTGCCTCTTGAGTTCTGTCCCTCTTGAGTTCTGTCTTTGGTGACAGCTGCGAAGCAAGAGAAGCTTGTGTTTCTGAACCGCTGTCTCTCTAGTTAATGAACATTTAAATGGGGGGGGAGTAGTGCCCTTGGAGTGATTTATGGAAGGTTGCTTTAAAAAAAAATCCTTCATATTTATGAGGAGAACAAGTAATGGGAGGGTTGTGGGTTTGATGCAATTGGGTTATAATCTTGTCCAGTTCATGGCATTGGCTTTGATTGCTCGATTCCTCCAAACTCGTTTCTATTCATTAGATATATTTGAGAAAATGCCATTGCGTTTTGAAATGTGGATTTGGTTTCTATATTTAGAAGAGAGGGTCGCTGTTCTGCTCTTCTTTACTTCCTGACACAGTTTGCTTCATTTGGAATCAATAACAGGGTTATCCCTGACATGGAATGGCTTAGCATTTGCCACTCATTTGTGTTGTACCTCTGCCATTCTTAATCATTTAAGCAACTCCATTACCCCCAGTGTCATGATAAAGGGTAGCAGGTTAGGACATTTGTATGCCAGGTTAATTGCCCTGTAGGAGCCTCTGAAGCTAATAAATTACTCTGCTTATTGCCTATTCACTTTGCTGCTGCTACCCAAAAATACCCATGTAACTGTGCCCTGGGGCAGAGAGAGACATATTAAATGCCTCATTAAGAAGAAAAAGAGAAACAATCAACCAGCAAGCTGTATCTTCCTAAGCCAGCAAAGGTGTCTTCTTGCTGTGCTTGGAAAAAGTCTCATCTTACAATATGGCATGATTTTGTTTTCCTCCAAAATAGCACAGCTGTGTCTCCTCTCTTGCAAGAGAAGGGGAAGGATCTATGAAGATGATGTCTCCAGAAATATATGGACTGTGCTGGAGTCTTGAATGGTCTGGGAAAATTCTCCAGAGCCCCAAACTATTTGCCCTACAAGATAGAATAACAAATGGCACAATTACCTCTAAATGCTTTGTGTGAAATTCTGTGTATGCATTTCCTCCTGGTTTCCTGGAAAGGTCTGTCTGATGAAATAAACTAAGACGGTGGTGGCAAACCTATGGCACGTGTGCCAGAGGCAGCACACAGAGTCCTCTCTGTGAGCATGTGCACCGTCGCCCCAGTCCCGCCTCCTCCCAGCAGCCCCCCCAAAGAAGAGTCACTCCGGGTGTGGCCCATGTGGAGCAGCGCAGCCAAGGACATGGAAGCCACACAGCAGGGACAAGGCTCCTCCCTCACACCCCATCGCACACAGATGATGCTGTGGGCATAGGCAGAGGGCGGGCTGCCGTGGCACTGCAGGGCTGCCTGGGTGATCTGTGGCGGGCCGCGGAGGCAGTAGGTGGCCCTGCGGGCAGGCGGAGCAGGGGGTGGAGTGGGGGCAGGGCGGGGGCAGGCAGGATGGTTTTGGGGCACTCGGTGTCTAAAAGGTTCGCCATCAATGGACTAGGAGATGACTAGAGCATAAATATATAACACTGAAGGCTACTGAAGGTGAAGGCTAGAAAAATAACTTATTTTGTGAACTCCATTGCATTCCTCAAGTAGCTTTCCAAGTGAGTTCTTTGGATTGGTTCTGGCATTATTATCACTGGAAAACCTTGTATTGCAATTCATGGAGATTTGCCAGGATGGATCTGTGAGGGACTTTGAGGAAATATTCCATCTTGAAATAAAGCATTTCTAATCAAATTGCAAGGGATAACATTCACTTTATGGACCTAAGAATACAGATTGAAAATGTACACTAGAGCTCTATCTATCCTGGCTTATTTAAGAAAAATGATTAGGCAGATCCAGGCAAGAAAAATATTTCTTTATGTGACAGATTGGGGCCAGAAGTCTTAAAGAATGCAGTGGGTCCAACCACTTCTGAAGAAGCTGTTCATTCAATCCTTTTAAAAGCTCCCTTCATGGGCAACATGTTTGAGAGGATTATGATTGTGCAGTTGGAGAAGATAATTAAATATGTATAGCTGTATATTTATAATAAACAGTAAAAGGGTGCCAAGTGGGTGTTTTTCAGTAGTGTTTGATACTGTCTTCTTTTATTCAAATATAGAATCTTAAGGATTTTGGGGAAATGGCAGATTTTTTATAAACCTGTATCATCTAAAGCATCTCCAGTATAGTGTGGGCGATAAAAGGATAAAATATATTTTCAATTTGAAAGAATTAAAGGAAACACAATGCTGGGAATACAGGCATTCACATTTTACTATAACAATGTTTAATTGAAAAGAAATAATGAAAACAGCTATGAAGTGCTGGAAATGTATAAGAAGATCTACAAAGATGATGGTGCCTTTTTTTTTTCTTTTTCATTCTCTGTGGTTCCAAAATAATTAATAAACCAGCAGTACCTTGGTTGATTGTTTGGATGACCACCATAAAAATCCTCAGCCACGTGTTATGATTCTTCCCCTATGTACATACAGAGGGGTTTTTTTACATGACTGTCAAATTCAGGGAAAAAGCATTGGTGTTATATAATGAGATTATTCACAAGAGACTCTTTAGCCTGATAGACAATTTGAAAACCAATTAAATTAATAATGCAGGTAACTATCCTTGCCACAGCCGTAAACATGTTCTTGCATAATTCACTTACCCACATTTTTTTTTAATCTCTAGCGATGTGATCCTAGTATGATGCAAACAAGAACTCGACATATACTACGAAGGCCTTTAAAACCCAAGACCTGCCCTGAAAGTGCACAGCAGAGGCCTTGTATTCTGAATCAAAATTGTTTTCAGTATAGTTACAATTTAACAGGTAAGCATCCTTCATTGTAATTTGGAATGACCTTTAGAGCGTCAGCCTGGCAAAAGTATATAGAGATGGTGTAGTATAGGAATACATAACTTTCACTGTACTTGAACTTTCAAGGAAGGCCATTTTGAAAATGGCTAAAAGCTAAATAGCTTCATGTATTTATTAATTCATGATAATTTATGAATTATAAACTTATGAATTAAGTTCTCATAGAATTATATACAATGATATACAATTATGTATAGCATTGTTATATTTGCTATAATATAAAATATATTTATATAATGTATAAATACAGGTAGTCCCTGACTTACAATAGTCCACTTAGTGACCGTTTGAATAACAGCACTGAAAAAAAATGACATGACCGTTTTCACACTTATGAAAGTGTGTTCATCCCCATAGTCACGTCATCAGAATTTGGATGCTTGGCAACTGGCACGTATTTATGAGAGTTGCAGTGTGCCAGGATCACCTTTTGCAACTTTCTGACAAGCAAAATCAATGGGGAAGCCAGATTCACTTAACAACTGTGTTACTAACTTAACAGCTGCAGTGATTCACTTAACAACTGTGGCAAGAAAGATTGTACAATGGGGCAAAACTTACTTAACAAATGCCTCGCTTAGCAACAGAAATGTTAGACTCAGTTGTGATTAGTCAAGGACTACCTATATTATATAAATATTTAATTCTCCCAACAGTTATTACTATCTGTGAGCAGCACTTTATAATTCTTCAATGATGATGCTAAAAAAATGCTTGAATGGTTGCTGAACAAGTAGTTGGTAAGCAAAGGCTACCTATATTCCCAGCTGGCATTTTATATGTTAAGTTGCCTTATCAGTGACAGGGATGGCATATAAATGTAATAAACAAATAGATAAATAAATAAAATAATGCCTGCAATTTTATATGCTTTTTATTGAAAAAGATTTTTTTTATCTCTTCTATCGAAGAATGGCCAACCAAAATGTGAGAATATGCTTCAAAAATTAGATTAACTTTATATTTTAAAAAGCAGTCTAATGCAGAAGGTAAGTCTCTTTGGGAATCATTTTTAGACTACAGTTTTATATGTGGAATTGGACCACATCCAAAATTCAGGTTTTAGAGTTTATATTTTAACTTGGCATATTATCTACATATAATGCTTTGAATTTTCTTAATGTATTGTTTTATCATCTATAGTCTTTTTTTCTCCTTTTTTATAACTCCAGTTGAGTTAACCAAATGCATTTAGTAGAGATATTTAGAAATTTGGTAACAATCAAGTAATTTAATAGAGACATGTTTTGATTAGAAAATAGATATGAATGTCTGTAAACTTTTTAATGATGTATTACAATATATTCATCATACAGTATTTTAGAATTCTTAGTTATCACCTGATTTTCCTTTTTATATTTGGTTCTTAATCTTTATTATCCTTTTAATATTATTTTAAGTATATTTGTATTTTTTCCTTTATTCTTCTCAAATTTATAATAATACGTTATTTGTAAAAAAAATGAAACATGAAAAAAATACAATTAAAAAAAGGCAATGAAGAGGCAGACATGGTTAGTACTTGGACGTGAGATCACCAAAAAGTTTCATAGCTGTGGACTCAGGTGGAAAGTTGAGAAATAAGCCTGAACAAAGACATTGGCCAATTACTTCCCAATGCTTGTCTAAAGCATAACAGGAATCTGTCCACATAGACACCAGCATTCAAGCTCCTCTCAAGAGAGGTGCAAATTTCTGATTCATTGATCCTAATTTTCAGGCCGATATATCAAAAGGTCCTAAAAATGGACTCAAGAAGTCAAAGGTATCAGCTCCTGGACGCAAAATGTAGAATCCTATAAAGAGCTGCTGCCTCCTGCACAGTACAGAATGGACTTTTCATTCTAGGATTCCTTCCTTCCTGTCTTCCTGATGGAAGCCTGTTTAGAAATATTCCCCTCATTAAAATGAAAGCACGTTCACCTAGGAATTCTGTATAACGTTGAGGACCACCATAGGGTTCAATTCACATACGACAAGAAAAGAACTTGTCTTTCAGAATTCTGGTAAGCAACACAGAGGAAGTATTAAGATCACACAGAGGGGGGAAAATGATTTATATCATTTCATATGCATTCTGAAGTCAGAAGAAAAGTCATTTATTTAAGATTTCTAGCTATTTTCAACATTACCTTTGCAGAGTGGTACTTGAAAAAAACAGCATTCCCTAATTGTTTATCCTTGCTTGAAGAAGACATTAATATTTTACAAGTGCTTTCTTTCAAGGGAAACATGATTCCTTTTGTCAAACAAAACTCAGTTGGAGATTATGACAAGCATTGCTTCAAGGCAGTTGCGCCGCAGAAAAAAATTACAATTTTTGGCATCCAATGGAGCAGCATGCCACTTGATCACTATGCAGTGCTACATTTCATCATCACCGGACAGTTGTTAACAAACTCAGAGGGAATGTAATTTTTAAGTGTTACTGAAATAAAAACAGAATAGTTTAAGGCTGGATGGATTCTTTTCTTTTAAAATAATATTATATTGGTTTCCAAATCGTAAAAAACTATAGCTTTTTTTTTTAAAAATCCTTCTAGCATTAATAGGCAGAACTAATTGTAACCATGATGTCTCTTTAGACTGGAGCACATGCCAGCTAAATGAAAATGCAGCATGTGGAGAAGGGATTAGGAATCGCCTTCTAAGCTGCATTCGCAGTGATGCAAAAGCTGTGAACATGAACCACTGCGAGCAGGTGAGCTTCCATTTGGTTGCTTAATGCAAATATTTGCTGGGCCCTTAACGTTACTTTGGATATTCCATGAAATAGTCTTTCAAAAAAACACATCAAAATAAGTGTCACTAACCTTCTATAGGTCCACGTAGAACCCTCCATAGAGTCACTGACATATTTTGTCATTTGAAGTCAGTATGTAAGGTAAGGTAGATCAGAACCTATTCCTATATTTAGAACAGTAAATGTGTATTTTTAAGGTAAATAGAAGATTGAAAAAGTAATTTAATAAAAACAATTTTTAAAAACTTACCCAAATCATGGCTGACTCTTCTTTTTTAGCAGCGTTTGCATAGTTCTTCTTTCTGCTCTTTTACATTTCTGAACTGCTTCATCCTGTTCTTCTTTTCTTTTCTTCTATCATCTCAATATCTCCCTCCAATTGTTTGCTCAAGTGAGGGCTCTGTCTAGCATTTCATCCTATTGGCCCCCTGTCAGTCATTATTACCCTTCTTTGTCTATTACAATCTAAATGACGTAGTTACTTTCTATATTGTTGCTCATTCATCCAAGTCTAGCCAATTCAGAAAATAAACAGACAAAACAGCAATGTATAAACTTAGGATGCCAAAGGTGAATCAGGCTTATGCACTTCAATGAATAGTGCTTTGCCAAAACCTATGGCAAAGCTATGAGCAGGCTGGACTTGGGGCAATAAAAAAATATTGAAGAAGCTATTGTTGTTTTAAATGTATTATAGCTGCTGACTTCCGAAGACTCTACTTAGCATACCATATCCAACTTTTGGTGTTTCATTAGAAGCCCTGCTTTACGTGCACATCTGCCTAGCTGTCAGTAATAAGTGATCTGATGTATTTTCTTTAATAGCTGAATCTGGAAACACCCACCAGAATGACTGCCAACTGCATGGTAGAATGTGTAGTGAACTGTCTGGTTACGGAATGGACTGCTTGGTCGGAATGTTCACAAACTTGTGGTCTTGCAGGTAATTGTTCCAGCTGAATTACTATTCGCATTATTTTGGAATACAAAGTTTGCCCTAGTAGTCAGCAAATATATTGGTTCGGAACCCTCTGAATTTCAAGAATTTAGTCATGTTGGTCTAGAATCTAGAAGTTGTCCACCATTTTAGTCTCAATAGATGACAACGCCAGCCAACTTGGCTTGGGCTTGGAAGCTAAGCGAGATCAGGTAACCATATTATTTGGATGAGAAATGGCTGGGAAATAGCAGGAAGCCAAACAAAAATAATCTAAAAGAGGTCTATGGAGATTCTCAGTCATCCAGCTCATGGTTGTCCCATGTCTTTCAAATGTTCCTTACCTCTTGGAGACTATATGGACATGTCTATGTGGTTCTCTTATCAGTAAGTTATTTGGCACTGCCTTCTTTTAGCATGTTCCAAAGGTGCTTTTCAAAAGGCAATTGGACTTCCTTTGTTTTTTCCTTGAAAAAAAAATGAATTGAAGAATCTTCTTGGATGAGTAGTAAAACATTTTCAAGGAAAAAAACAAAGAAAGTCAAATTGCCTTTTGAAAAGCAACTTTGGGACATGCTAAAATAAGACAGTATCAAATAACTTACTGATAAGAGAACCACATAGATATGTCCATATAGTCTCCAAGAGTTAAGGAATATTTAAAAGAGTTATAATACATTTTCACTAGGACTGCCACATTGGGCTGCAAAAATCCATACAAACACTGGATGACAATGAAGAAATGCCAGACAACCGCTAACTCTCTGTTTTTGTCTGGTGACCATTCAGATTTGTGCAGCCCAGATCTAGTAATCCTTCTCTTGCTAGCATTTTTGAAGGGAGCCTGGTTGGACAACCTTAAAATAGACACCTATTGTACAATATAACAGTGTACATTATCCTGTTTCTAGACACCCCACAATACAATTCACCTTACAGAATGACATATTGTGGCTGTGGTCATATAATATGTAGCCATGGTTTGTTTAACCATAACTTATTAAATAAACAGCAATATCCTCTATTTATGCAGCTTACTACAAGATAAATCATAGTTTGAAAACCACGAACACTGGATTCACAACATGCTAAGCCAAATAGAAGTTAGCCTTTTGATTTAGCATACCATATAAACCCACTCAGTATTCAGGGCAATGATTTATTAATTATTATTAATTAATTTAAGGCCAGCTATGATTAATACTGTAAATATATAGAGGTGTGAATACACAGTAATAAAATGATACAAGTTTTCCAACACACTTTTCCAAAAATCTAATATTGAGTTAAATAGTGTCAGTTTTTGAAGCTGAAATGTTGATGGTGTGAACACTGAGATAAACATCGAAGTATTTTTTTAACTACAAAAAGCTTAATATTTATGCTAACTTCCAGGGAGCTGTAAGAGATGTTAAAATGTTTGTGGAAAACATTTTCTGTTTTTTGGCAATTTAGGACGTGGCCTCTGATTTGATAGTATGTGTTGTGGTCTTATGAATATATTGCCATTGCAATATAAAGTTATGCTTATTTGATGAGGCTTGGCCGTATGTATGTTGCAAATATGCTATTTTCACTACCTGACACTTTTGGAAGCAAATTTTCCTTTTGCAAGATAGTGAGCTCTATTGAGCCATTGAAGTGAAAATACTGATTAAAAAGCTTAGAAATTTTCATATTGGTGTTGTTCCAACCTAACATTCTAGTCAGATGTAAATAAGTGTTCTTTAATTCAGTGTGACTTTCTTCTGAGTAGACATGTCAAGGAGTCCTACAGAACTAATTTCTGATGTTACAGATCAATCTTTTGCTAATTCTAAAATTAAACTGGTTTTCTGGAAACGTAACTGCAAGAGGGAAGCTTCCCAATCTGTAATTATTAAATAAATAAATAGAAAGTAAATGCCAGGATTTCTGAATAAATTCTGTAAAATAGATAAAATACTCAGGGATATGTTATTAATGAATGAACTGGTGAAACGTCCCTGTTCTTCTCTCAGAGATTAAAAGTAGGAGGTTTTCCCATTTTGTCTGTTCTACAGAAAGCACTTCTAGAATCTGCTTATTAGTTAGCCTCATTTGCATTTTCAAGGCACAGTGGAGTAGAGATAATTTTAATCTTCTTTTAACCCTCTGACACACTGTCAGCATGCTACTATTCCACTGTAATCATGACCTTGCCACATCTTATCAACTTGTACCAACTTGGTTCAACTTTACTGGCAAGTGATGCAACTTTCAACATATTGCACCTCTAACAATACTGCTCTTGACAGCAGTTTTACCCAATGCTGGATAAGGAGTAGATTTCATGTATTCCATCATTAAATGGAATAATGTGTTATTGACTTACAGTGAATATGTGAATGTAGGACTTTTAGTTATAGTGCAAATCTTTTATCTAAAACCAGACATAACAGAAGATTACTTTTGCACTCAAAAACAATTAAAATTATTTTTTCAAACACAGTTTCAGTAACTATGATTTCTGCTCTCACTTCAATAAAAAACCTGCTATATTCCATTGCCACAGTTTATTTGTTTATTTATTTGCTATGTTGTGGTAATACGTGCAAAACTCCTCTTTTTTGACAGCTTCACTTCGTGGTAAAGTTGGTTGAACAGTCTGTTTTGCTCTTTTGCTCTTAGTCCAGGTCTATACAGTACAATTCATGTAAAATAAAATATTAGCTAGCAGCTATAGTATTAAGCACTAACACTTTTTATTGGGTTTGTTTGAGCTCTTTGTAGTCACTAATATTGCTGGATGGAGATAGATTTATATGAAAATCCAATTTAATGTCTCCCAAAGTCAGTACTAATAGAATTTTGAAGATGTAATTCAGTATGTTGAACTTTCTACTTGATCTTATGTATCTACAATGTAACATTTGTGAACTACACCTTCTAGTGCATTATAAAATAGGAGGGTGTATTACTGTTAAAACAATATGGAATCAATACGAATGATCATTTTATCTCATATTCCACAGTGTAAATACACCTTACTAAAATCTTGTTTGCTAAAATCTTGTTACCCCCTTCAGATGAGGTGAGAGAAAAATCTTATGCATTAGGCTTCCCAAAGAAAATTCCAGCTTATCAACGAAGGCATCAGGATGCATACAAATGTTTCCAGTGTTATCTAGAATAGCAAATCATGAAATCTTTTAAGAAAGATAACACAGTTATGGCATAAAACCTTATAACTTTTACTTATCATCTGTCTGCTTATTCTCGAAGCGATTATTAATTTCAGAATACATGTGTAAAGGCTACCATAGGAGAAAGAGAGAATAGGCCACCTGAGTGGCTAAAGCAAAGATTAGTGGGGATGGGAAACCAGACAGCTCTCAGAAATTAGAGTCAGGAAAGTTTCATTCTGTAGAGCATGACTGGCTGAGGAATTTTGGAAATTGAAGTCCACAAGTTGTAAAATTGCCAAAATCTGGTCCTTCCTTCCCTAGAGAACTGGACCAGAATTCTCCCTCTGGTCATTCAAGAGGAAGATGCTCCTGAAATCTTAAGAACTCAGCTTTACGCTACACTAGGGATCTCCAAACCTGGCAACTTTAAAACTTGGGAACTTCAACTCCCAGAATTCCCCAGGCAGCAGCCAGTCAGAAGCCAGCTGGCTGAAGAATTGTGGGAGTTGAAGTCCATAAGTCTTAAAGTGGTCAAGTTTGGAGATCTCTGGTCAAGACAAGAAAGACTTATAGAAGCAGGGCAGAGACAAACAGCCTGGGACATTACAAACAACAGAGCAGCTGAGTCATCTATTTGTCACTGAATGATTATTAATATGCATTTAGAGGATTTAGATCAAGCGGGAAACATTTGGAAAACCCTCTCAGACTTACAGTATATGAGAAAAGAGGCAGAATCTTGAAACAAGTATGAGGTGAGAATGTAAATCTGCATCTGATATTTAAAGTCACCTTGAGAAATTAAGCATGCCTATACAGAAAGAAACGTTGCCAGCTTTCATTTTAATTTTTTTGCTTAGAAATTACCAGGTTGGGGTATATACAAGAGAAATGAAAATGGAAACAAAATCGTTGGTAAGATAATAACTTGAAACACCACTTTTCTGAATTCTGAAATGCCACTTTTCTAAAGCCAAAAAGGGAAAAAAGAGAAATACTTCATTTGCAATGGTTCATATCATTTGTAACTCATTTGTCTAGAAAAGAGAGATAAGGTAAACCTATTAGACTACATTCCAAAGATGATGACTCACCTCAGGCCAGTGTAAGAAAAGGCCACAAAGGAGATGGAGAAACCGATGTCAGAACAAATGGCACCTGTTTTGATTTTCCTGCAACTTCTAACTTCATTAAGGAGAAAAAAGTTTCATTAAAATGAATTAATGTACATCTACCATTCACCTGGCCAACAGAAAAGGTCACCTCCTCTGGGAGAGTTTCTCAATGTTCCATTTTGTGTCAGGCAAAGAAGAGTTGTTGCTGTTGATTTAAAAAATTAAACATGTTTTATATGTCCCAGATCTATAATCAAGCCTGTTTTCAGTTTTTAAAAAAAACTACATAAAAAGGATGTGATGTAAGATTTAAAGGAAAGATTATCGTACTGTATATTGCTTATCAAAGGCACTGTCCAGAAAAATGGACTATTAAACTGTGCAGAAAAGGGTATCAAAGATTGCAACCACAAAATTATGTAACCAAATGGCACTGGAGAATGAGAAACAGAGACCCAGATCCTCTTTATGAATTAGAAGCAATAACCAAAGGACTACGGTTGCAACAATGTGTGAATCAGCCCAGATGTGCATGCCAGATAAAGGCTGGAGATATTAAGCCAATAAATATGGAGATAAGGGTGAAGAAGGAGCCATGAGAGTAAATTCATAGTTACATCCGTGGGCCAATCCAAGTAGAACACTATGTGGGAACTTATATATGCTTACATTGATAAATGATTACACAAGACAATGGATTTTGCTTCTTATTTACTGGAGAAATAAACTGAATTGAAGCCTCAGG